AAATATATAAAAAGATATAAAAAAAAAAAATAATAATATATATATATATAGAGTTCGCCGGAGCAGTCGTCGAAATAGTCACTGTTCCTACAACTGCTCCAACTCCGACGACTCAGGTGTCAAGTCACAGTTCAGGTCACGACTCAGGTCATGGTCCAATTCAAAAGTCACAACCCAGGTCACAAGTCATAGCTAAGGTCACAACTCAGGATTTTGTTCATAATCACGGGTTATTTTTTTTTTTTACAAGGATCACGGGTGATTTCCAAATTATCACAGCACGGGTTACAACATATTTTTGTACATGGCTCAAATTAATATTTAGTCACAAATTATCGGATTTTAAAGTCACAGTTAATCCATTACGCGGTCACAATTAGTCCATTACGCAATCTCAGTAGGTCACGAAACACAATCCAGATTCAAACAACACCGCCTCAGTACTTTCTCAATTTCCGGCGATTGTACACGGCCTTACCATAATCGCACACATCAACACTGCAATCACCAGATTCACCACCGCCATCGCCATTGGCAAAACAACCACAACCACCACTATTTTCAACCACCACTACTTCACAGACCAACCATATCGATCGCTGCTATAGATCCAAGAACTCGTGAACATATTTTCAGTTAAAAATTTTAAAAAAAATCAACAAGTGTAAAGAGAAGATGGCAGGATTGGAATCAAAAATAGCCAATTAGAAATCAATTTACGATCTCTCTCCGTCTCGAAGTGTCAGGCTAGCAGCGTCGCAACACTGCCCTATTCGCAGCAGCGTCGCCACTATACTGCGAATTCGGGCAGCAGCGTGGAGAAAGGGAGGGGAGGAGAGGAGATGGGAGGGGAAGAGGAAGTCGCCGACATCGTGGAGAGAGAGAGAGGGCGTCGAGGGACGGAGAGAGAGAGGGCGAAAAATTGGGTTTGATAATTTTAGGGTTGTGGTGGGTTTATATAATTTAATTTTTCATAATATTTAATTAAATATAAAAAATATGTATCTATATATTTATATATCTGATTTTTGACACTTAAAACACAAAATCTGATTTTAAAATTTGAATATTTAAATGTAGGGGTTGATGTAATTTCCACTAAAAAAATATTTAAATGGAAAATTTGCATTACGGGCTTACAAATCTTTCGCACAAATTTTTTAATCTTAGCAACATCATCCCGAATCTTTTAAAAAACATACGAAGTAAGGACCTTCTATAGTCGCCATTCAAGTGTCAATCATCAATTGACTAAAAGTCAAACATCTAACTCTAATTTGATCATTTTAAAGATTGACAAAATAGTCTTTCTATTCTATTGGCAAAAAGAAGAATAAAAAATAAAATGAAATTCCTTCATCTTCTCCGATTGGGTGGGTGGGACAGTTGAAGATTTCTCTTTTTTTTTTTTCCTCATTTTCAATTTTAATTCTTTCCTCTTCTATGTTTCTCCATCTTTCTAAAAGAAAAATTATTTAAGAAAAAAAAAAGTCAAAAAGTTTGATAAATCATT